TTTTTCAAACTTAAATGCCTTAAGTTGGGCACCTAAATCCACAATTAGGCATCTAAATAAAAGCATTTGCTAAGCATATACACGTTCTAGAGGAGTCAATTAACACTATGGTTGCTCAACACCTCTGAAAAAATCAGACCAGGTGACTGACACTTTTCGGCAACCAATCATGAAAATTTTGCCCCAAACAACTTTCCCAAGGCCATGAAGGGAGTAAGTTGGGATGAAATTCATGATCTTCTGGCTTCCAGTTTTGTTCTCAGACCATTCGATCACCAAGCTCTCCCTCCCATCAGCACGTTAAATAGACCACTGAATGTTCTTCTGTCTCTCGAGTTCTGAGCTTCCTATGTCATGAGAATAATACAGTACGGGAGGTGAGATGACAAACTCTACAAGTGGAAGTATGTCTATGGATATATTGTTATCATCTTCTGAAAAAGGGGCTAATGATAAAAGAGGCATAGTCCATTGCACTGTAGTAAACTTACAGTAATAATATATCACAGTTGGGCTTGCAATCCTTTTACCTGGAAGGGGGATTAAAGGTCTGTGATATTTACAGCACTGTTCCATTTTACAAGGCCACGTCAGCTGCACAGACACACACAAAACGGAGTAACTTTGATTACAGGTACCAATCCACTGTGACGCTTGTGTCCCTTTCAGACACTGTAACATGTCCTTTTATTCATGTATGGCCCAGGAGCATTCTAATGTCCTTCCTCACCCACCCAGAAATCTCAGCCTCTTCAATAAGGGCGGATTAAAGTCTTGTCAACTGGACAACCTGACTGGGGCTCTATGTTGCAAAGAGGGATCCAACAGTTGCTGTTTGGTAGTCTATGCAGATGAAGTCAGGTGGGTCTTTGCCCTGATCCTAATGGACTGTGTCAACAGAACAACCCACTACAGAAATTGGCACCAACTGGCACTCTCGGTTCAGAAACCAAGCACTGGATAGACCAATGGAACCTAGAACTAGTTCTTCAGCCATGGAAGTGGTCTTTCTAGTCTTTCTGCAGGAAATTCCCCCATTTCAAAATTGATTTTCATTCCACATTGGAACGAAATGTCAGCATTGGAAATGGGGAAGTTCCATAAAATGTTAATTTAGAAGCCTCAAAACATTTCATGTGGCTAATGTCACATTGTTTCAACATTATCAAAATGAAACTATTTGACATTATCAACATGAAACGTTTTGATCCTTCCAAGTGGAAATTTCTCATTCCAACATTATGTGCAACTGACAACATGTGCCTGTAAAATGGAACAGGGCTGCAAATAGCTCAGATCTTTAACCCCCTTCCTGTAAAAGAAGGATTCCAAGCCAAACTTGAATATACTATAACTGGATGTTTACTACACTCTAGTGGACTATCCCCCTTTTATCATTCGCGCTGAACTGGGGTATTACTGGTCTTTTAAGGCCAGGGGGGGAAATTTGGGAGCCACAGTTACCGTGTTCCAGGAGTTCTGGAGCAGAGGATGGCCTAGGAAATGGCAGACGCAGATACTGGGAGAGAGGAAATGATCTTGGTGTAATAGTGTTGCAGGGTGGGGTGCGGAGAAAGAAATCCAGGTTAGTGTCTCTTTAAGGGACAAGGAGCCTTGTAGTAGAGGGTGGGACAAGGCTCCTCCTCCCTCTCAACCAACCAGGACAAGTTCCGGGAAGGAGGGTAGCATATAATTTGCCTCTTCACAGAGGGAGACATTAGCAGGGGAAGGACTGCTTGCCTGCTGACCTCTCCTGGCCCAAGGAGAAAGGCCTGAGGTAATTTGACCATGCCTCCAAGTGGTGAGATTGGACCCCAGTAGATGCACTTGGGAGGACTTTGTTAGGAAGGTGTTGTTTGGAGTTTTGTTTGTTTGAAAGACTTTTGCTGCCAGTCTAGCTGAAGCTGGGCAAGAGTAATTTAAAGGACCCAGCTAAGAGAAGACACCTAGGGGTGCAGCCTGCTACAAGCTCCTTTTCATAAGGTGATGATACTATCTCCCTAGACATACGTCTGCTTCTACACTGTATCACCTCCAGCATTGTCCTGTTTGAGTGGCATAGGAGGCTCAGCAAACAAGAGAGAGAAGAACATTTCCTGGGCTATTTAACATGGATTGGTGAGCTAATAGTGTGAGAATAACAGTGAAAGCCAGAAGCTACTGAGTTTCATCCCAGCTGACTTTCTCCGTGTCTTTTGAGCAATTTCTTGGGCCAAAATTTTCATAGGTGGTTGCCTAGTGTTAGGCACCTAAATAAAGGGCCTTAATTTTCAGAGATGCTAAGCAACCACATCTCCAGCTGACTTTTGTACCAGTGGTGGGTGCTCAACACCTCAGCAAATCAGGCCGTTTATTTAGGCATCCAAGTTTTAAAATGCTAGACTTAACCATAGTGCCTCAGTTTCTCCACTTGCATGCTAGGAGTAACATTACTGACCTCCCTCACAAAGGTGTTGTAAGGAGGAGTTAATATTTCTTTTTAAAGAGAAGTGCTCAGTGAATGTATAATTCCAAACTGGGCTATTAGGCATGAGTAAAGAGTCCATTCAGGTCAGATCCAGCTCCCACTTTCCAAAGGGAACCCAGGGCACAACATTAGTGTCATGGAACCAAGAGGTTGTCACATTGATGCAGGTCCTAAAGCAGCCAGGTTTGAAAAACTGCTTATTACGTGAGCACTGCCTGTCCTGTGCACTCAGTGAGGCAGGGGTCCTTGATAACAATAGCATGTGATCATGTAGTTAAAAACTGTGTCCTACTACATATGCACCAGGGGACTGAATTAAGGTGGCATGGTCAACCTTAATTTTGGCCCCTCCCAACTTCTGAGTGCTTGACTTTGCAACCTTATTAATGTTTGGGAGATTTTCTCCACCAACTATTTATTATTTAGGAATTCTTACCATGTTTACATAATGTTCTTTTAATGTAGTTTTTGTATATGTATACACAATGTTTATATACAATTCATTTTATATAATAGAATGAAATTAATTGAAGTGAAAAAGTTGAAACAAAATGTTTTTACTTTATCAAAACATTTCAACATTATAAAAACAAAAACAACAAAGTCAAAACAATTCACTTGGGCTTTCTCCCATCAAAATGTTTATCATAATCAACATGTTCCCTTGAAGTGTTTTGTTTCAGCTACATTTTCTGATTGAAAAAATTTTGAGGAAACTTTCCCCATCAACTCTATTCAGACCCTTTTAGAATATTGGGTGCACCTACAGTTAAACCTGTGGAAAGAGAGTAGAGTACAGATCCATGCAAATGTACAAATGAGTTTTTTCTGGCTCATCACGGCAATTTAAACCACATTGTACAGCTAACGTTTACCCTAAAGAAGTTTTTCCAATATTGCTTCTCCAAAGGGGCAACAGCTGCTGGACAACAGTTGAGATTAGTCCCAAGCAGGTCCTGTTAGTTTGGGAAGTGACAGGAACTGAGTTTGAGTCCCAGGGATACTATAACTTTTTTTAAAAAATATCATAAAATGTTGATGTCAAATGATTTTTAAGGGTCTCGTGGGAACCCCTGGCTTAAATGCCTTCAAATTTGGACTAGTAACTCTAGCCTAGACCTCTATGAGGCCCCGTAATTTTCAAGACAATCTGAATAAACATATGGACTTTAGAGCACTTAGAAAAATGGGCTAGACGGTAAAGTTGTCTCAGCCTTACAGTGGTGTTACATCGTGCTATAATCCAGGACTTCTGTCTCCAGCAGAAGCTAATTCATCACTGCTGAATTCACTTTTAAAAAAGAAAAACGTAAGATAGTGTTTCAGCATTAGCTATCCATATAGGAACTGGGGTAGGCTAAAGAGATCAATGCACTTTAAACACTATAGGAGTCAATGTATTATGTAGGGACAAGTCCTGTGGAATTGTACAGGAAGTATGTGCTCATGTACATACATATGTAGAGAAACTGTCATTTAAAACCTGCTTCTCCCACCCTCCCACCTGCTGGAACGGGCTTGTATTAAATATTAACAAACTTTGTCCATCAGTTCCCTGGGCCTCTTTTAACAACAGACTTATTACAACAGCTTTTCTCCCTCCCACATTGCTTTTGTCAGCATTGCCAATTCTGAAACCTAAGATTGTTTTTCCTGTAACTCTGCCTGCACTGCCTTATTGCTTCTCTTGCTGTGCAGTTGCTCTCTACCTTTCTCACTCTCTCACTGGGACCATTGATGCTACCTATCTGCCTTTGGCCATTGTAGGCAGCTTGTACTGCTACTCACAATTGCCCAATGAAAATATATTAAAGGGGAGGGAGAAGAGTGAAACAAAAATACAAAGCCAGAGAGAGCCCCTGCAGTAGGAGTGGAAGACAGAAGAGCAGGTGGAAGGGGTGATGAGCATGGCCAGTAAGTCCAGAGATTTGCCTCGAGTTACCTTCCAGGCTCCAGAGAAGCCTGGGGAGGAATCATCCCACAAGAAACTGGGCAAGCTAACAGTTAAGTACAACCGCAAAGACCTTCAACGCTGGTTAGACCTGGAGGAATGGATTGATGCCCAGTTGCAGGAGCTGTACCAATACCAGGTAAATAACCGGGGTGGATCAAACTTTCCTTCATTAGGTGTAGGGGAGCCTAGACCCTGTGGGCTATGAAATGTTATCTTTAATTTATTGGGGACAAGTCGGGCAACAACCCAGGTTGTGATGATTGGGGACTCTGTTCTCTATCAAACTTCTTCTTATCACATACTAGACCTCTCTCTCTAAGTGACACTGCTGTGTTAGCGCTCAAACTATGGGTAATGGCAAGTCTGTCAAGGAAAATAATGGGCACTACAGGCAGAGAGGAAAGAAAGGGGAAGTGGGGATTCAGGCATTGTAGGTAAAGATTTTGTTTCCACCCCCCAGGCCTCCAAAGTTCTCTCCCCAACATTTTCCATAGCAGCAATGTTACTTGATGGGAGTGTATGTGAGCATACCTATATAGATGGCAGTGTTTATCCTGAACTGTCTTGGAGCCATGGTACTTAATTCTGGCTGTGTCATTTGGGGTTTAAACCAGCGATTTTTTCATTGCCTTTGTACAAAAGTTTCCAGTACAGATTGAACACTGAAACATTAACCTGATGTCACTGAGTCTATTCATATTTTATACTTACGTGGCACGTTTGTTGGTAAATCTCAAAGTACTTTGACAAAGTGAGTGAATATGTTTTAGTTTCCCTAAATGGGGATAATACTAGAGAAGTTACAGGATTTGCCCTGATCCAAAGCCCATTGAAATGACTGGATCAGGCCCCAAGTCACTAGCAGACACAGGAACAGAACCCAGCTCTCATAAGTCCCCTATCCAGTAGACCACTGTTGCCTTCAACAGAAAGTGTGGATGGGTTTAACAATTTGTACAAAATAAGACACACATCTTCACCCCCACACATCTTGATTTAGTTGGGGATTGGTCCTGCTGTGAGCAGGGGGTTGGACTAGATGATCTCCTCAGGTCCCTTCCAACCCTGATATTCTGTGATTCTAAAAAATTTGGTTAACTCTTGGATTTCACGGTCTTCCATTTTTGAGCATCGTTGCAATTTCACATAGGGTTGGAAATGGACATGCCAAAATATCCCTCTGGTAATTTCTAGGATCACTTGCTTTTCTATGTGCACTGGAATTTATTAGGTAAACTATTCACTATTTGAAATGAGAAGACCGCTCCCCTTGTATTCACACCATTCACAAAAGACAATTGAAAGAAAAGAGTATATATAGGCACTCTGTTTTGCAGTACGTGTGGCACCTCTAAGAAGGAATGTCTGGTTTCCTGCATTATTATTTCTGTCTTTTTATTAAGCAAGGTTTTAATCTTCTTGAAGTTAGTAAAATGACTATTAGACTAGTAAAACGATCACTAACTAGGCTAGATGATCATAATTGTCCCTTCAGCCCTTAACTTCTATGAATTTCCATTTGAAATTCAGTCATTTATTTTTGTTTATAAAATATTAATGGGAGCTCATCCCATGCTCTGGGTCCCTTATAATACATTAAAATGTACAACAGCACATTCAGTGTAAGTACATTCAAATACACTGCCTAAACCCACCCATCAGTAAAATCCAAGTCACAGTATCCTGAATGGAGTCATTAATGTGAGGTTTATGAAAGGTACCAGATCGATGGCCCTGGTGAACAAAGTCTGTTTATCCATGGAATAGGTACAGCAGCAGTGCCAGCTTCCCTGCCAATGTTCCTGTCCTGGCTTTAGGGGACGGGACCATCTCTAGAGGTGATAGGTTAGTTCAGTATCAAGACCCTTTCTGTCCTGCGCCTCTCTGCTGAGATTGCCAACAAGAATGGTGATTCTTTTTGATAATTTTTGTGATATGGGATCTGGACCAGGACCAATAGACATCAAATGGTAACCATTTTTGGTCATGACTCTCTACCAACCAGAGCTGGATCTAACCCAGCAACCTAGAGATAAAAGGCTCTTTAGTCCATTAGCTATCTAATTCTCCAGTACTGACCTTCCTAGCAAGTCTATCCCTAGAACTTATTCTTTTTTGTCTCCATTTGCCAGAGATGTGCTGATTGGTTCCTTCTTGATCATGTGGCTTGAAGAGATATTGAAGCTGGACACTTTTTGGCTTCATCCTATCATCTAAAATAATAATGAAACACCCCTATGTATGTGGTTTTACTTTCTTTGGCTTTAGTCAAGTCTTTGTTCAATGCCTCTTTGGCATTCAAGACCAGCAGTTCCAGGCTCATGTGACAATCCCATCATGAGAAACATGTTTGTAGAGCATGTCTATGCACGTGCCCCGTAGGAACAGCAATGTAGAACAGGGAGTGGCACCAAGATGTCACTGTGCTCATGTGACAAGATCAATGACATTTGATATCATTGGGCTCCTGAGAGCCAATGCCTACGGTGGAGAAAGATGAAAGGAACCCACTTTCAGCCTAGAATATATAGACCCTTTCTGTACCTGGTATTTGTGGAACTGGCAAAAGTGGAGTTATGGACGGGACTGAGAGAGTATTTTTATGAGGGAGTTTGAGGTAATGGGGCACTACTGTAAGGAAGCTCACACCCTGGAGGATTAAGTGGAGGTGACAGGAGACAACTCTAAGAAAGACAGAACAATTGTTGCTTCTTTAAAGAGTAAGGTTTTTTGCTACTCAGAGGAGCTAGTAACATTTAAAGCACCTGTTTCAAAAAAATTCACAAGTGGCCTACTGGCAGTTCTTGGTGGTACCATGTGCGAGACCAAGGTGTAATTCCCTCTCAACTCTCACTATGCCGGGCCCACAAATGAGCATTTTTAAAGGAGCCATAAAGGCAATACTAAAATCCCTTTTTCACCTATGATCTCCTGAGAGTTTGCATTATGTAATCAGAGTCTGAAATCATTAACATTGCTGGTGGGTCACCACGTCCAAAGGTACAGATTCAGAGACTTGTTTTCCTTTCATTACTGCAAAGTCTTAGCAGGAAGAAGGCATTTCTGGAAGGTGTTGCCAACTGACTGGGGCATGTGCTGCTGGCTCCTCTCCTGCACAGGAAATTCCCCAGAATTCAGACATGCATTTCAGGCTCCATAATCTCAGGCTAAGCATACAAACTTCCATCCCTAGTTCTAACAAATCTTGATACCTGGTCCAAACATACTTGGAAGTACCGCATCGCAGTATGTGCAAGTTTAGAAATTGTTGGCACCGGTACAGCAGTTTCTTGTAAATGTTTTATGAAGGATTAAAAAAACAACAACCTACCAGACAAATCTTAGAATCACTCGGGTCTGAAGGAGTCTCTAGTGGGCCATCCCATTCCGCTCCCAGCATGAAGGCAGTACTATCTTTGTTAGCCCTGATAGTCTAGTCTTCAATAGCTCATTCCACAACCTCGTTGGCAGCTTGTTCCATTGCTCTGTATGTCCTTAGTATTATTCAGTTTCCTAATGTATCTTAGATGTCTAAGCATCAGGGTTGAAACAACCAGGCTCCCTAGAATCACAGGTTCAGATTTTAGCAGGATCAAGTCAAACAATCATATTTCTGCTATGGGCAAATGGAGTGCTGCAGACCTTGTGCTTAGAGCTTTCAAAGGAGAACTTAGAGTGCCATGTTGATGTGGCCTTTTGGGACCCAACTCCCCTGACCTTTTGGGGGGGCCTGATTGCTACTCATTCCATTTTGTAAAAGATGGTTTACCCCAACTGGGGTTCATCCTATTTCAGCTGCATTAGGTCCTTCCATAGGGTTTTCTCATGATAGCATCATGCTCCTTGGGCAGGTATTCGGTGTTGTGGTGGGACTGTTTGACACCTCTGGGAGCTAAATCTGGAGGAGCTGAGAGATGTTGCTTGTGTCAAGCCACAGTCTACGTGTTGGGGTGTGGTGCTGCTAGAGATGAGCCTGAATCAGAACGCTTGTTCTAAATACCCTCACATTTCAGGATGATTCATATCTTAATCTAGACTTTGCTGCGTGGGCCTCTCTAACTAGAAATGAATCCTTCCCCCACCCCACTTTCATCCCCCCAGCAGTTCTCCTCACAAAGTCCTCTTGAATGCTTATCAGTTGACAGGACAGGTTTATTTACTATGTATTTCTGCTCTAGCTGCAGGAGGAAGCAGACGCAGCAACCCCTGAACCAGAAATTGACATTGAAGATCTTCTAGAGGTCTCCAACGAGGAACAGAAATCAAAACTACAGGTCAGACAGACTGTCCGTTCTTATTTATATTAAATATGGGAGCTAAGACCCTGTCTTCACTCGAAAATTGACCTATTACTGAACAGGTCAACAGTAGGTCGCTCTGGATTGGTGTAAATGCTTATGTGGATAATACAAAACCATCAACTCCATTCCAGAAGCCAGGATTAAGGGCTGCTTTATACTCCGCTTTTGCACTGATTTAATCAAACTGGAAGAGAAAATGATTTAGTTCAATCCTAATGTGGTTGCCGTAATACTGATATAAATCACTTATACCCATATAGCCACATCCGCACTAAGGGGTTGCACTGATTGAACTAACTTGGGGGGGGGGTTTCTACCAAGTTAGTTAAATTGGTGCACAAACTGGGTGCGCTAAGACTCAAGTTTGACTGCACAGAAACTTATCAGTTCATTCCACCAGGTGTCAATCTGTAATAGTTTGGAAAACAATTTTGTTCCTGTAAGGTAGAGAACTCATCACCACAGCACCCACTTGTGTCAGGATGCAATGCTGCAAGGGTCATTATCTCCTGTGCCATCTGCCACTAGTCAGGGTTTCCACAGCTCAGCCCTCTGGCCCAGTCGCATGAAGTTCAGTCCCCTTCCGGGTTAAAAAACAACAACAACCAAATAGTCTTACAACAAGAGAGCCTTCAGCCACCTCTTGAGCTATTCCTCAGCCTGTCCATTGGGCTGAGTCTTTGGCCCCACCTGGGCTCAATATTCCTTCTGTTTGGCTTACATACCCCTTCCTCAGGGGCTGGTAGGGGAAGAGAGGCCCCCTCTGTTCTGGGTTCTGGTCCAAGGACCCTGTATTAAGAAGCTAGGTCTACTCCATCAGACATGCTGCAATTTCCCTGGGCGGCTTCCTATCTCCAAGCCATATGTGCTGCTTCTCCACAACTTGTATTTAACACAGCCTCCCTTTGGTTCCCAGGCCTCTCACTTCTCCCTAGATCCTCCCAACTCATCCTTTGCTAATTTATTAGCTTTTCTGCCCCTCTTGGGCTCCGCTAAAGTGTTTTTACTGACCCTATCACTAGGCCTCTCCTACAGGAGCCTGACCTGCTCCTGCAGACTTCTTCCTCTGTTCCTTCTGGTTTTAACAGGTTTCCCTCACTGCTGCCCTTCCTCAGGGACTCTGGCAATTTCCCCAAGGCTCTTCCTGCTCCTTTTAGGCCTTTGCTCAGGGTTTCCCCCCAAAGTAACCTGTGCTTCCTCCTCCCAGACTTCTTGCCTGTTTAAGTCATCTCTCAGAGCTCCTACCCTTGAGAGCCAAAGAATGACCCCTCCTCCTACCTACAGGGTAGTCCTGCCTTTTCTGCAGTCTCTCCCCGCAACTGAGTTCTTTGACTCTGTTGACTTTTCCTAACCCTTTCACAGTTGGGATCGCTAACTAGCCTCAAACTGCCTTATAACCATCAGGTGTGGGATAGCTGGTAGGTCACAGGCAAGGCTGAGCCTGGCTTATCTTAAAGGGCCAGCCAGCCTGTGAGTCCCATTCACACCCATTGGGGGGATCAATTGCTGACAACCATTGTCAGCAACAAGTCCCTATACCATTGTTCACAGGGCCAAAGTGTCCTATTTTTTACAGCTTATACACTTCTCCCATTTAATATGTGAACTGAAAAATTCCTTATTCACACTAACTGTTCCCAGTGATTTATTAGGGTTGAGTGAGCTACTTCAGAAGTAACTCAAACTTTCACCCAAAGTTTGAACTAAAGCTATTCTGAATTAGAAAAATGTTGGTTACCTTTTAATGCAGTGGTTCTCATTCTCTCAGAAGGCTCTGTACTTCTGTGTTCCTGGCAGCAGCCAATGCAGAAAGGCCAAAAAAACCCCAAACGGAATAGCTGTTCTTGAGGTATTTCTTGCCCAGACAGAAGCCTGAAGTAGCTTAAATCACATAAGATTATGAGGCCTGTTCTTATGGGGTTTTGCAGCCCAGTTTTGCAGATACTCGAGGCTGGGTTAAGCCTCCAAATGCTTACGAGTTGATCCAAAATAACTCCTGAGAGTTTTGCAGTAATACTTAGCTCCTATAGGGTTTGATACAAAGCCCATGGAAGTTAATGGAAAGAGTCACGCTGACTTCAGTGAGCTTTGGATCAGGGCCACACAGTGTTCTTCAGATATAGGTCTCAGAATGGAAGTATCATTACTAAAAACCATACTGGCAGCAGACTCTCTACACATCAGACAACGTACACACTGTGAAAGCTTCTGGAGCCCTCTGGGATGACGCGATTGAAATACAGAACTGCTAACACGATCCAGTACTGTGGAACAGGAACAAAGTACAGAGCTCTACGTTGTACGTAACAGTGTTTTGGTGACTGCGGGTCCTGGGATCTCCTGCGGCATTCAGTACAGAACAGCGGTGATGAGTATGGATTGGAGTCCCTGAATGGTGTGGCATGATGCAGGTGATGGTGCTCTCAGGCTCTGGAACATCATTGGATCACATATCACGCTAGATATGGCAGCCTTAAATACTCTTCTTGTAGCTTAAAAAGGAAAAACAAATAGACAAACTCCTAAGGAACTAACATGAGTTTTGCCTTGCAGGAAATTCTTCATGAGTGTTCCAGACCTACAGAGGTGAGTGAAGCATCGTCAATGAGCATTCAGTCTCAATCTCATACTGTGCTGTGGCAATGTGGCTTGGCTCCATCTGGTTAAATAGCCGGTATGCGCTGCAGATAGTTGAAGCTTGAGTTACCAAGCTTGTTTACTCTCAGGAGGGGTTTTTTTATACTTTATTCCACACCGCTGTAAAAACTAATTTAAATATATAGGAGTGAATGTAGAGCAGTGACCAATGAGGTTAATTTCAGATGTGTGTTTCCTACTCAGTCTATTTCCTAGTTATGGGTCAAAGGAAATATCAGAAGCAATGATGATCTCTGAAAGAATAGACCAAGAAGGCAATGTGGTACTGTTAGTACATAATTGTAACTTGCCTCTGTAGTGATCTCCAGTGTACCTTGTCCAGTCCTTGTAAATGGCTGCATGAAGTTTAATGTACAGAAAATAGGGCTGGCGAATGATTCACATGGAAATTAAACTAGTCTGCAGAAATCTGCTAACTCAGGTTGGCAGGCAGCCCCGCCATCAAGGCTGTCTGTG